GCAACAATTCGTGCAAAGTAACCTGCCTCAAATCCACCATAAATACAGAGTCCAGGAATGACATAGAGTGCAATCACTATAAAGATCATGATCTGACCACCAGGAATGTTCTTAATATGTGCAAGGCGATCCTCGTCACTCGCCCACACCATGTAAGCATTACAGAACAGATAAAATGCAAGAATTTGTCGAGCTAATTGCAGAGCTTGTGTCACGGTTGCATGACCTTTTTTGCTGTCTGTGAGTCCACCAGCAACAAACAGATATCCAGCACATACAGCTGCAGTTCTAAATGCCATCCTGACCTGGGCAAAAAGAGGGAAAAAATGATTATATTGCAATCTTTTAATAGTGCAAATTCTGTTTCTAATCATTTCAAAGAGACAAGCTTAATCTATTAAGATGCAAGTTGTTTAGAAATCTATCCCCCATCTGCTCATAATGCTTTATTTCTCCCAGTTCCAGGTTTACTCATTTCACCTGTAAGCAAAAACAAGTACAACTGACTATTAGCCCCATCAGATATAAGCCCCCATTAGCTGTTGTTTTCTTGAATTTGATTTATGGTAATGTTTTGAGGTTTAATTAAAAACCAGTAAAAGCAAAACCTGTTTTGATCAGCCCTACTATATCTTGTTGCAAAGCGCTTTTTATATTCCGGCTTTAAGCTCAATCAGATGTAAGCCTTCCTAAGAAGGTCTCAATGAGGTTAACCATCAGCCGTCAAACGGCCTAAAATTTAATCCTCAGCCGTCAAAACAGGTAATTTTTAGCCATCAATCATCAAAAATGCAGATAAATATTAACCGTCAAATGTTTCGAGATATTTATAATCTTGCAATTTCAGCTGATCATAATTGACTTCTGGTTTCTGAAGAATCTCTAAACTGGAAAAATCAGTATCCATGTTTCGAAAAACACTTTCTCTGGATACTAGACACTACATCACCTTACCACTTGCTTATATCTGAAAATATTTTGAAATTTTGTAAGTGAAAGTCCAAGACATTCTCCAGAACAAAAGTTACTATTAACTTATGCAGAAGGTAATATTAACCTAAACTTTTCAACCAAATTTCACTTGATAATCATCAACTGTCAAAAGCTTGAGAAATTTAACCACTATCCGTCAAAACTGGAAAAAATGAACCATCCACCGTCAAAGCTATACCGTCCCATTGATACCCTCTCCTAAAACCCCCTAACAAAGATGTATAAACCCACAGCTCACAAGCAGCAATATTCAGTATCTGGAAGAAACTTCACATCTTATTCTAAAGAGAGGAAAAGAGCTGTTCAGTCAGATTTCATGACTCTCTTCTGGCTTTACTTTGGATAATATAGTCCTTTGAAGTTTTAAGTCTGAAGCTAGGAAAAGAGATTTTTCAGTTTGTGGTTTATAGTTTTCATGTTTTTTCCATCCAGTGCCTCTATAAACAGAAGAGGTACAAGTAAAACAAAGCACAACCCTCACAACGTCTCAATTCAGTACCAGGGGGCTACCTGATAATCTTGATAAATTATGCAAACTTTGATTAACTTTCATCTACATTTTTATGCAGACGTGTCACCCAGCCCGATTTTTCACTGAACATTACCAACAGAGAGTTTTTTTTAACCAACAAAACACCATAAATATTCTTGATTGAAAGTGAATCGTGTAACATTACGTTACACACCAGTTATAACAATAAGTCACGACCATTGTTCTTCAAGCACTTACAATCAAAAATTCCGAGTAACGCTCTGTTTGATAAAGAGTCACCGCTGTATAAACTATTGCGTGCAAAAGTGCAGCAAAGCCACATTTCCTTCTTTTGATATCCAAGGTCATTCCCGTTCCACAGACAAAGAAGATCGCGGCATTCAAGTACACGAGAATGTACTCTTGCCTCAACGTGTCCTTGAAGCTCGTTATCTTAAGCCCTGGAGCTTTTTCAGCTCGTTCTCCGGTGGACATAAGAAGCAGAAATAACTCGATAAATGGAAATCGAGTGACGATGAACAGTCCCAGAGCGTCCAACAGCCGAAAAGTCCTTTCTAACGTGGTCATAGTGAAAAGATCAAGGAATCAAAGAGGACAGAAATGAATGGACATATAATATGCGCCCGCAGTTTGGCGAGGTTGCACGCTTAGGTTGCACGCACACGTTTTCTTTGCGAGGGAGGGGCTAGAGAGGAATTTTTCTCATCTTACATATTTCTTGTTTATTTCATTTGTATTCAATAGATTATTCCTACATTGTAATCTTACATTTTTACACCAATTTTATGATCACTTTAACACTTAATTGGTTCCCAAAAGGAAAAAAGGGAAAATCATACTTACTAATTACACTGACTTTTTCAATACTTTCTATACCCCCTCAGAGTATTTTTGTTATCCCTCCTCCCCTTGGAAACACAACGACTTTTGACCCAAACGCAACGAAGAGCTACGGTGGTAGCTGATGGCGATCTTCAAGGGTTTCGTCATGTTTCTGAAAGAGAGTCTTTCCTTTCCTAAGCCTGTGGTTTGAAAGGAAGGTTTTAGGAAAAAAAGGAAGCTTCTGTCAAAAGTCGCGGTAAGTCTGTTTTTTAAAGCTTGATATATGAAAGAAAATAAGGCATCATTTTAAAATTGGAAAAGAACAAATGAAATATTCGCCATTTGTTGTTGTTGCAGAAGAGGAGAGTTTAAATTTTATTGCTTTTCGCGGTTTTTCCAGCTTTTTTTCTGAGGTGTATTTTATTCAACGTTTCGTCTGCCGTGTTCCCCTTTTCACCAAAAATAAGGATTTCGAGAGAAAAATAATTTTATAATGTTATTAAATACATGTACAAATTCAAATGTAGAGTATCTTGTAGCTTGTTTGGACTGTCCATTTCCGACGAGAACCATTAACCATGACAGATTCAAAGAAATATAGCGTCTGTACGTTGAAATCAGACGAGTGATTGAAACTTCCTTTACGTTCGAGTTTTGGGTAAGATATCTATGACCCTTCACTTGTAATCTAAAAGAATTTTAAAACGCCTTTACGAAAGCAGTGATTTGATACGCCATTACGCTAGGATAGATTTTTGATGCAGGTCTTTTTTTGATCAGTCTACCTCTATTTTCTGTTTTATTATTGTGTTATGTTTATTGCCTAGTGAACTGTACCTTGCAGTCTTTCAATACGTTGAATATGTATCCAAACTTCTTCTTGTGTAAACAGAGTACTTATTGTCACTATAAACATTCACTTTGACATATGCCTCAAGTTGCTCTTACAAGGCCTTATTACAAAAACCTGTTCGAAACCTTCCTAACCATTTAAATTTTGACCACAAAATATGAAGCATTTCTTAAAGGTGTTAAAATAAAATGTTTTGTATGGTATTTAAAATTTACTTAAGCTTAATTTATAATTAATTAACCGCTCGAATGGTTTCGTGAAATTTGTTTGGTTTTCAATTGCGTAATATTAAATTTTAATCATAGAACACATTTAACTTAATAAGAGTTTTAATTAAATTCACACTTATTGTACTGATGCGAAAATATTTTCACATCAGCATCTTTGAGTTTTTGTTTTGTTTGGTGCAGCCGTTCCAGTGAGACATTGTCATGAATACCTTTATAATTTATTGTATTTTTGGAAAAAGATTTCAAACAGAATTTTTCATACATGTTGTCTGAACCATTAAAGTTGTCTGAAATAGAGTACTAAAGTGATGACGTCATAGAAATGAAATTTCTGAAATTATGGGATTTGTCAGGATATTCTGAAAGAACAATGTCCAAGAGGCCTACTTGCCAAAAATGAGCATTTCGCGGCAAATTGTCTCTGAGATCGTAGCCCAGTTATACTCGGAAAACTCCATACAAACCCTTCTAATTTTTTTTTGGGTCGACCCAAAAAAAATTTAGAAGGGTTTGTATGGAGTTTTGTAGGCATAACTGGGCTACGATCTCAGAGACAATTTGCCCCCAAATGCTCATTTTTGGCAAGTAGGCCTCTTAGACATTGTTCTTTCAGAATGTCCTGACAAATCCCATAATTTCACAAATTTCATTTTTATGACGTCACACTTAAGTACTCTATAAGTTTTTTATATAACCCAAATCAAACTTATTTATTACACTGGCAAATCACAAATTTAAACTGCAGCCCTTTGAAAAAACAAACAAACAAAATAATCTGTATTATCATCAAATTTTGTTAGTGAATTTTTCATGTCACAACTTCTTAATCCAGTCTCTCTGACATCTTTGTCCTTTCTCTGTTCACTCTTCTTCTCTCCCAATGTTGAGTTGTACTGACTTTTTAGCAAATATGGTTAATATGTAAATCAGCATAATTTGCAGGGGTTTTACATGACAATATTAGGGCCATTTATACGAGTAAAAATAAGACGCGTCTTAAGTAAGACGCGAACTGTACCATTTATACGAGCATGTCTTATCTAAGACGAGAACAGCTCGTATAAATGGTTCGCGTCTTATTTCTGTTCTTGACTTGTTTTCATGTGAATGTTGTTCGTAGCAACGGCAATCCAACGCGGCGAGCCAAAAAGTAATGCATTCGTACTATGTGTTTGTGTCTTATTTAAGACGTGAAGGTCATTTATGCGAAGTTTTTCTTGTCTTAGCTAAGACGCGTCTTACCTAAGAACAGGTGTTAAGGGCTGTTCTAAAATAAGACGCGTCTTAGCTAAGCCGCGTCTTATTTTAGACGAAATGTGCCGTTAATACGGAAAGTTCACATCTTTTTTAAGACGCGTCCTATGTAAGACGCATCTTATTTTTCCTCGTATAAATGGCCCTACTATTGTTTAATGAACATGACAAGTATTGTAGTTTACAACAGCCAAATTAGTGTTAAAAACGTTGGGGATCATTTATTTTTGGTTCTGTTTTAAATTGGCCTTTTTCCAATTAAAAATTACTGCTGAATACAAACATTAACAACATATCCATTCATGGTTAGCCTCGACAAAGAGTAAAATATTCACAAATTCCGACAAAAAAGTGTCAGAAATTTGAAAACACACAATAGACAGAGTAGTAAACAGGTATTCTTCTTGTTGGAATATATGAAAATATTTTCTTCAGATGGTGGCTAACCTTGTAAAAAATACATCTTCGCTTTCTCTCATTCAGCAGTCAGAGCAAACTCGAAACTGGACTGTAAGTATACTGATTGTTTAAAGGAAAATTGATACTGGTGCCATATACCATTAAGTCTTTTGTAACTGTTAGAGGGCATTGTGTACTATGGCAAGCAGACTCAGTTGTTACCCAGATACCATGGCACCCAGGCATTGTTCATGTATTTTAGTTGATTTACTTGGGATAGGATGCTGACACGAAAACCCTTAATTAGTCTAAAACTAGTTCCCTCACTGAAGGGTTACCTAAAGTTCACAGTAAATAAGAATTAAACATCTGTAAATACTTGATAAACAAGTGGAAAATTTGAACAATATTTATAAACTAGAAATGTAATTAAATATGACAAATAAATTAAGAGAATGTACTTAATATCGTTCAGGTGTAGGTGTTGCTAGTTACAAACATCTAAACATGGAGTTTTGTTCAAAACAGAAAAATGTCTGTTCCTCCTCGTCCTGACCCTCCTGTGGTTGGCAAAGTGACGCATAACAGCATTGAGCTGTACTGGAAAGCTGCAGAAGCCAGCCACCAAGGTAAAGGTGACAGTCGAGTGCGTTACTGTGTCCAAGAGGAAGAACTGGGCCCAAAATCCAAAGGCTTTGGTAATGTCTACTCAGGATACAGTACAATGTGAGCTTTACTTTATATTTTGGAAATGATGATCAGGCCTAATTATTTATAAAATCGTGATTCGGTCAAATCTTAATTAAAATTCCTTGATTAAAATTATATTTGCCTTTGTTGTAATTTATAACTGATTATCACATATCACCATACTTAAAGCAAAGGAAAATATGATTTAAACCACAACATAACTGTGGTGAAAAAAATTGTGCACTTTACATGTAAAGCAATTTGGATTAGAGTCAAAATTTGCAGTCATTTTAGCTATTGGTAAGTCAATTGAAGGGGTCCATGGAACATTAAGGCTGCAAGTAACTGACTCAAAAAATACAGGCCTCAGTGACTGGTAGGAATCACTTAGGGATTTGTCCTAAATTCTGGCTACTGTCAATGAGTGTTTTTCACCAAAATTGAACCCAAACATTAACAATGCCAATCATTTTTGCCGGGTTGGGTTTCATGCGACACCCCTTTCAGCTGTTTTCCTTCCAAGATCTAATCTCTACTTTTGTTCCAAGTCCTGTTTGCATAGTTAGAGCTCTTGTCCTGATTAACGGTTCCTCAAGGACCAAATTACTCACTGACAGATCTTCATGTCTCATCCAGTGTCCTGCTGTTTCTGTAACAGCACATAAAACCAACACTAGCTTATTTCCTATACTTTTATCAAGTTTAACCCTTTCCATTGCTTCATTATTGATTTGAGGACTTATCTTTTCTTTCTTTCTGTGGTATCGTTGCGTTGGCTTTTATCATTTCTCTCTTTCTCTCTCTCTCTCTCTGTCAGGAATGTGTTTAATGGTCTGGAGGCACGCACACAGTACCGATATAGACTGAAATGTATGAACGACTTTGGATCAAGTGCTTGGAGTCCTGTTGTTACTGTGTCAACAACAAAGAAACCACTGACCAGTGAGGATCTTCAGCGGGCCGTAACCAAAGGAGATGTGGAAACTGTCAAAAATATTTTACCGGGTAAATCCGAACAGTAAGGTTCAAGCAATTAACAAGCAGCTTACAAGAACATGCCTCCCAACTCTGGTGCTTTAGGGCTTGAGTTTTTCCTGCCTTCAGATCAAAAAAATATTCAATCTTACACCAGCTCCTGCATACAGATCAAATTTCTTTACTGAAAGAAAAAATTGGGCTATTACAACCTCAACCGGCACATTTTCAAAAAATGTACAAATTCTACAAAATTCAAAGCAGTGCACGAAAAGAAAGAATCCATGTGAATGATCCTACTTTCCCAGAAATTTCCAATTTTTAGAACAGAAATCACTGGAACTTAAAACTCTTTGGAACATCTTTTTAACATGATGTTGGCTAGCTTTCCTATTTTTTGCCTTAAATAAATTGGTCAATTTTTTTTAAAGGTCTCAGTTGGCAGGCTGTTGATTCACCTGATAAGTTTGGTTTGTCTCCTCTCATGGTTGCAGGTACGTAAGCAATCACGATTTTTGTCTTTTTCTGTTAAGACTTTTTTGTTGATGAAACCACCTTCCATTATCTGAATTGACCAGATCAATAGGGTGCAGGATATGAGTATAAGTACATAATAATATTTTAAATAGTATTATTGTCCTAATATTTTGTTCTGATGCCTCAAGTCTGTTGTCCCTTGCTTGGAACATTAATAGTTCAAATATTTCAGTTGAATGTTTCATCCCCACATAAGTTTGTCATATACTAACCGTATAATTAATATTTTGCATGGTTTTTTTGTTTCCACCTTGTAGCACAAAGAGGCTATGTGGAAGTAGCAAGAGTATTACTAGAAAGCTCAGCAGATGTGAACTTTCAGAGCAGCAGTGGAAAGACAGCATTGATGATGGCTTGCTACTCTGGTGAATGACATCAGATGTCATATCTAACATGATTTTTATTTCTCTGTTGTTGGGACTTAAGGGAGGTCTAATCTCTTCCCCTTACTTTTCACAGAGAATTAAGGGGCTGTTTTGTCTTGAAAAACTGTTTCATCAACCTGTATAAATTTTTCAGCAACAAGCCCGCTGCACTACTGACTATTGAGCTTATTTTATTGCTATGTAAAATAAAACTATGCTGTGTGAGACATCTCGTCACCCTTTCATTCTCAGTAAAAGTACAAGGAAAAATCCACCAAAATTTTCTTTTTCAAGAATTCAAAATGAGCAAAGTTGAGAGACTCTTCATGATGGTTGAAAGCTAAAGAGCCTAAAAAGCACTTATGTTACTTGCTTTGTCCAGACTATGCTTTAGCTACATGTATTAGTTATGTTTTTTGCAATATTCCAAATTGAGAGTGGTGCAAAATGGTGGGCAAAGGAAAGAGAAGAGTCCTGAGGAGACAGAGAGAGTCTCTCTTCATTTTTTTCCCTGTCTATTTTTCACCCACGTTCTTCTATCTGAATGCCTGGAACAGGCTATTTCCCAAATGTAAAGAAGCTGGTACAAGTTATTAAATTTTAACACACTGACTTATAAGCATCCATGGAACAGGGGCTGATTCTTGTTACTTGCTTCCCAGGTCATATTGAAGTTGGGAAGCTGTTAAGGCAGTACAATGCCAGCTGGGATTTAGTAGATAAGACAGGCTCTACAGCCCTTCACTGGGCAGTGGACGGAGCCAATTTAGACATGATCCGCTGGATGCTACAGGATGGCTGCAGNAAGAGCCTAAAAAGCACTTATGTTACTTGCTTTGTCCAGACTATGCTTTAGCTACATGTATTAGTTATGTTTTTTGCAATATTCCAAATTGAGAGTGGTGCAAAATGGTGGGCAAAGGAAAGAGAAGAGTCCTGAGGAGACAGAGAGAGTCTCTCTTCATTTTTTTCCCTGTCTATTTTTCACCCACGTTCTTCTATCTGAATGCCTGGAACAGGCTATTTCCCAAATGTAAAGAAGCTGGTACAAGTTATTAAATTTTAACACACTGACTTATAAGCATCCATGGAACAGGGGCTGATTCTTGTTACTTGCTTCCCAGGTCATATTGAAGTTGGGAAGCTGTTAAGGCAGTACAATGCCAGCTGGGATTTAGTAGATAAGACAGGCTCTACAGCCCTTCACTGGGCAGTGGACGGAGCCAATTTAGACATGATCCGCTGGATGCTACAGGATGGCTGCAGAGTGGATATCAAAGATGAAACTTCAGGTGGATTCAAATAAATAGTATTGTATTAATTTTATCATCACAAAGTAGGCTTGTATTTTGGAAGGGGTACTTTCTTATGGGTAGGTGCCTCTATCCTTCGTGCGGGCTTTTAGGGGTTGGGTAAGAGAGGATAAAGAGAATTTTTTCGCCACCTCAACCCGGAGAACTTGCTTGCAGACTACTGTAATATCTTACATTAATTTTCATTCGCATAATAGGTTGTTTATGTAATTTTCTAGACTCTATTTATATTTTTATGTCGTTTAAATATATTTTTGTATAGTTATTTGCAATTTTTCTGTATGTACATTTGAAAAGCCCAGTTATGTATGTGTATGTAGCGCATTTTGACCCATTCTGCTTGTTCTTGTATCCGTGACTGAGGATAAGAAGAGACCATTCGTAGTCTAAAGCTCGTGCGTGGCACATCTTTAAATCTGGGTTTTACTTTCTTTTTTTTTTTATGTTGCCCGTAGGGTGGACTCCACTCATGAGAGTGGCTGCTGTGAATGGAAATGTTAATGTGGCTAAGGTGCTTATACATCACGGAGCAAACGTACATACAATGGATAAAGAAGGAAAAACAACGCTCATGAACGCTGCACTCAACGGATTCGAGGCGCTGGTCAAGCTTTTGGTCAAAAAGGGCGTGTCGATAAAGCTGAGATCCGAGCACGGCAAAACAGCGCTTGATTTCGCGAGGTCATTTGAACACGAGAGGGTTATTCAGGTTTTACAAGAACAGTTGGATGCCATAAGGAAAGAAGAGAACGAAAGAAAACTGGCCGAGGCAAAAGAGCAGAGGCGGAGCCTTGAGAAGATCGACAGTAGTGTTGTGAAACCTGTCACAAATGGGACTCAGAGCTTTAATGGAAAAGAAAATGAATCCGTAGGCTAACAGATATCTTAATATGCATATCTAGGATGGATTTATTTGCAGCCTATGCGGATAGCCATCGTAATTAGTCCCTGAAATTTTCCATTCCTTTTACGCTTTATTCCAACGGGCAAATGCGACTGAAATACGCATATGCTGCAAAGGAGTCCATCCCTATGAAACTTAGGGAGCTTTCCATTTGTCAGAACTGGCCGGCCAGACCATTGCCCGACCAGTCAGTTTGAAAATGAAATGGGCCTTTTCCAAGAGTTTTTGCTGAAAAACCATCTTCTCCGTGCATACTGTTTAGGATTTGACTGATCTGGCTAGAGACTTTTGATTAAAAGGGAAATTATCATTGCGACGGGAAAGGTCTGGCCGGTCAGTTCTGACAAATGGAAAGCGCCCTTAGGTTCCCCAATAGGTTTTTGGGGTTGCGGAATTTGCCTTATTTGAAGGCTGGTATTCGGGAGTTTAAAGCAAAACGGGGGCAAGATTCAGGATTGAAAGTATGCTCAGGATGCAGATGCCCAATAACCTTCGAGATTACGGGAGTGGGCAAAAATTATGATCGGGATGACGGGATTGAAGGACCCATTGGAGACCCTTCTATAAACGATACCCTTTCTTCCAAAGCAGGCGTTTGAAGGGGAACTTAAAACTGAGTATGAATACTGCCGAAATATAGATAACCATACTGCTGGGAGGGGGATATTTAATGTAGGGTACCTAGAATACTGAGAGTGAGGGGCGATAAAAGCGCGCGAGATGATGCCCTCCTTCCTCGCGCAGCCTTTATGTACTCGCGCGCCTTAATAGGCCATCTCCGAGCTCCAGACTCTCACTTTCAAAGCAAGGCTAAGTGCAAAACCATTGTTGTGAAAAAGAGTTTTATTTGCGTGGAAATAAATTAAAACATCATTTTCATCTCAGTAGCTTCGCAAAAAGCGTTGTTTTGAAACAGGCTTGAGCAACTCAGAAATGCCCTTTGGCCTTCTTTTCTTTTCCCTTCAAACGTTTGAAACCAAGAAGAATGAGGTTTTTTACAACGACAAGTAACTCCACCAATGTCGGTACTATTTAAGGACTATTTAATATCATCTGAACCGGTTTATTATCTTTGCTAGCCATGTATGGATTTTATCCTCAAACTCGGACGCACAAGCCCTTCAAAGTCATCCTTTTTGTTACAAACTCCTCGCAATCTCCAAAGAGAGGCGAGAGTTCTTTTGGAGTTTGCGGCTCGAGGAGACTGCAGAAAATAGGTCTTGATCGAGAGATTTCGCTACACAACCAATCGCTGCTCATTATACTATTATGGAAAAAAGTGATGTGGCTGCAAAATTCTGAGTAGCAGTGGAATGTTAGGTGATTCTCTTTACGAACGGACTGGTCTTACCAACTAGTTCTGAGTAAATGTAAGCGCCCTAAGCTAGTGCGCACTCACATGGCTACAGCTTGCGTAGCTGTAGCCTGAATTTCGTCCGATTGCTTCGAGTCCTTTTCTCTTCTCAGCAACGTCGTTACTGACGGAGAAATAACGACTCGAGGTATTCGGATGAAATTCAGGCTAGCGTAGCTGGTTTTTTTGCTGTTTTTTTTTTCTTGTTTGTTTGTTCGAGAGATATTGCGTGCGATGTCAAACAAGAAAACGCACGAGGTCATTCGAGAAAAGAGAGAGAAAATCACAAAGCAAAACACCAGCCTGCACACACAAAAAACCGCCATCTACACAGGCTAGTTTTCATTTGAATGGACATATATTTACCTCATTAACAGCAAAGCTACCAAATGCTCAACGACTTTTGATTATTCAGTGGTGTCCTTTTACACCCAAAGATATTGACTGCAATTCCATGATTCGACGATTTTGGATTATAATGTTCGTAAAGCTTTTTGGTTGAATACATTACCAGAAATCAACCAAGAAACCAAGCTTTTCATTTTCAAGAATACCCTTTAAGCGACCATTAATGAATTTGTTGCTTGCTTTATTTTAATTCTATACAATTCGTAATCGGTCATTTTCAACATGACTGAGTTAATATATTTTATGTCAAAAATTTGGAGATTACAAAATTTATAATCAAGTGGAAGTGAATCTATTAAAATTTTGAAGTATCCTCTTTTAGTCCTGGTGTTTCATGTTTGTTTGTTCTTGTTTGTTTGTTTGTTCACTTTGACTAAATAACATTGACATCCCTTTAATGAACCGTAAATTTCCACCCGAAAAAAAAAAAACATTTTTTTCCTTTCGAAAAACATAACCTCAATAACGAAAAGTAAGAATAGACCATGACAACGCGATTGCCAAGGTCCTTCTGGAAGGCTGATCATAGAGTACTCGCAAAATAGATAGATAGTACCACGTGAAAGTACTGGTGAAGAGGGTTAATTTGATTGGTCACATCAAATGATTTAATCCAAACACTCAAAAGTTAATGGTAAAGGCGCACACAAGTCAAAGGCCCAAACGGACGGAGCTTATCCCGGTTTCATTAGCATGAAGCACCTGGGAGTATTGCTACTCCTCCCTTGACGGGATACTGGTCTATCGCGGGGTTACCTCCCAGACCGAGATCAGTCCCAATTTTAGCGGTTCTCATACATTCTCTCTAACGGCTACGGTTTCCTTTGCCCGCCGGAATGTTATTTCCAAAGCGAAACGAAAATTGAGCCTGATCTCAGGTTAACATTTATACACCTGGGTGAAGAGGGACAAAGTGGAGTAAAGTTCCTTGTCTAAGGAAACAACCCGACGCGTGAGACTTAAGCCTCGGACCTCCAGATCCGGAGTTTCAGGTGTTAACTACTCGGCCACACACGCCTCCTCAAAAGCTAAAACTACATACTTAATAGATAGAACCGGCTCATGTGCAGGGGAAAGTAGTGATAAATTTAAGAGGTTTCGTTTGAATGGTAACACACAAGTTTTTGGCCACAATCTCAAGAGTGAGAATTACAAACTAATAAATAGTACCATGGAAAAGTACTTCTGAGGAGGTTTCACTTGTGGCGTTTGTATACAGACTCAATCATGATTTGATTGAATGCGGATAACCATCGACTTAAAATGCAATGAGGGTAAAAGGACCGGGATGTGTAGTCCTCTTTATGGCCTATGTGGGGATATGCTGCACTACGGGGTGCGGTTTTTTTCCTCTCTGTACCGAAACAGTATATGTTTTTTCGCGTGTCTGTCCTGAAGATGGTATATAATTTCGTGTGAGTTTGTCGTAATTATAAACAGGGTATTGCTTGCACGGTTGATATGATTTGCTTAATGAATTCTGGCCATAGTCCAAGTATAAAGCAATGACTACACCGTAATTTTTAGGGAGTTATTATAACTCCAAAAATGGAGTAAAAATTTTAGGTACAGGATAACCCCTTTTTGGGGGTTATTTTAACTACTAATTTAACTCCGAATTTGGGGTCATTTTTACTCCTGAAAAAGAGTTCTTTTTACTCCCAGTCTGGAGTTAAAATCACTCCGAAATGGGGTTTCTTTTACTCCTTACATGGGTTGTTTTTACTCTTTTTGGAGTGAATTTGACTCTGAAAGTGGAGTAAAAATTTTAGGTACAAGATAACTCCTTTTTGGGGGTTATTTTAACTCCTCAATATCTGGGGTCACTTTTACTCCTGAAAAAGAGTTCTTTAAACTCCTTTTTGGAGTTAAAATAACTCCCCAAAAAATACCTCCACTGTAAGGAGTTAAATTAGCCCCACTATAGGAGTTATTATGACTCCCTGAAAATTACTGTGTATACTATTGCGATTTCCAATGAATGGTTTTAAAACAAGAAAGCGTGTATTTTGTCCCCTTTCCTACACAGGGTAATAAAATTGAGGGTGTTGACCTAAACAGGTTATGCATTTAAGGGTCTTTTTGTCCTAAACAGGGTCAGCGGCTCTCCTCTACCCAGATATCGGCCGAATATTATACGGTTAGGAAGATAATATAATATTATACGGTTAGGAAGATAATGGTCTTTGTGTATGCCACACAATTAATGCCGTACTGCAAACTCACCTTTAGCCTGGGACCAAGCTCAGCATTGGGGGGAAAAGGGGGAAAATGGACTATAAATAAAGAGTGTGAGTTCTGCTCACATCACCGGTCAGTACAGACTGCTGCAGACCATTGTTTTCCCTATGCAAATGGACGTGATAACAATAGTCCCATTGTTTCCTAACTCTGAAAAGAATGGTCTGCAGTCATTTTGCAGTCTGCATTTTGTATTGTCCACTCAAATCACTTTTTGTACATGTCGTATGTTCTTTAATTTTTTTTTACATACTGAGACATTCATCAAATTTTTGTTCATACTGTACCCATCGTGAAATTGCAGACTAGCAAAAATGAAACATTTTATAATAATCTAGATTCAGTTAATTTACAGCTAAAAACGAATGAAAGGTAGAGGCATCGTGGGTGAAGAAAGGCCGCCTCTGTGCCATTGACACTTGCCAACATTTTCTTCTTCCATTTCCTGGAATTTTTTTTTTCATCGTTATTATTTTTTTTAAAATACTTTATTACAACATTTTGTTACACATTTACATATATATGAAAAACAATAAAACAAAAAAAGGTACAAAAATTACAAAACTTAAATGAGAATTTTGTAACTTTTGTACCTTTAAAACATTTCCTGGAATGTTAATCCCTCTCCCGTTCTCTCAACAGTGAAATTAATGTTGATAGTAAGATGAAATTCGTAAACCGTTGAACTGGACTTCGGTATCAGATTTTCAGTTGAAAGCAATGAATCAAATTTTCTTTTTTAAAGGTTATTTCGACATGACAACGTTATCGCAGTAACTCATGTGAATACAAAAAAACGGTTAAATTATTTCAGCGCAAGATTTCTATTGAAACAAAAATCTCAATGGCTATCTTCTAGCCCGAGATTTTTCAGAAAATCTTTCATTTAATTACTTCACTGTCACTTTTGACAAATTAAAGGCTTTGAACCAAGCGAAAATTGAATGATATTATTGTTTTCTTTCTTTCT